TTCATTTAGTGGATGGATGCATACACTGAACATAGGTGTGAAGTACTTTCAGCATAGAGGGATTCGTTCTCATTGTTTTTCATGTAGCCAAGGGCAGAAAGTAAATTGAAATTAAACTTAGAGCATTGCTTCTATATTTTTATAGAGAACTGTCACGTTTGAGTATTTGCCTAGATGTACACAAATGTAAAGTAGTTGAATAGTGTGCTGGTGCAACTGTATGTTGTTCTGAAGCCATCTGGATGGTGTTTTCCAGTAGTGTGTGAAGTATCTAGCTAATCTTTTAAATATTTGAGTATTGCTGACAGTTTCAAATGCCTTGCTTTGGGAAATTGAGTGATTGGTAGAAGTGCAAGGTTTACATGGCTTTGAGATTACAAGAAAAGTTATATTGTCTCAGCTGAAGGGCTGCAAGTTAAGTTTGGGATGTAAGGGAAGAATCAGAAAAATGATTTTGTCTTTTTTAATCTCTGCTGGAAATGTTATGCTGATACTTGAGCATCATGTGTATCCAAAGAGTGCTTTACAAGATCCTTTGAAAGAGGAGGTACACAGCTTGCAGTTCTTGGAGTTCTGACTGTGGGATGTTTGTTTTCCTTGCAAAGCAATTGTAATTTTAGCATATAGTTTCTTTGCAAATGCTTGCAAAAGCAGTGGGACCATTTGAGGGAAGGAGTAGAGAAAATTGCAGTTTGTTTGAGAGCTCTTTTGGTCAGATTTAACCTACATGTAAAAGGAGTTGAAATGAGCTAACGTCCAAGTGTGTGATTACAGTTCAGCAGCAGGAAAAGCAAGAAAAGCTGCAAAAGGCAGTAGATCCTGGGGAAACAGTTTCTTCTGATTTTTTTTTTCACCCAAGTTTAGTGGAAGAGAGATGAGGAAAAATTGGCAATTTTTAGCACGAATGAGTGCTGTTTGGGAGTATTAGATGTATACCTCTGTATTTTAAACTGACGTTAAAAACTTACTGATTCTGTCATGGTTTTCTTAGGCTGTTTAGTATGTAAAGCTGTGGAATTAAAATTAGTGTAGAACTGAAATTCCACCAGGTAATCAAAGTTATATCTGTTGAATTCTTTTATTTCCTAGTGTAAGGAGTGAATAATTTCCATTTTGTTGCTTTAGCTCTTTTCTATAATGCTGATGCCTGCGAGATAATTGCATATGTAGGTGTTGTTTCTTTAACAAAGTGAGGTGATGCCATTATTCTCCCATCACTGAGAAAAAAAGGAGGGAGATTTTTTTGTTTGACTGAAGTAAGACGTGATCTATTGTCCAAAACTACAAAGAGAAGCTTTTGTAGGTGGAATATTTAGGTTAAGGTGAATGGGAACATTGTGAAAGACAGCTCTTATTTTATGTGAATCTAAGCCATTTTTTTAATGTAGTGTAAGCTATTTATTTGAAATAAGTACAAAGTAAAGTTTCTCCTTGCCTCTGTAGCAAAGAGAAGAAATCTCTACAGAGCTGTAATAATGAACTGCACTCGAGTTACATGTTTGAAGTGGTTCTAAATGTACTTTTCTGCATATTTTGCAATATTTGTGTGACATACTGGAAACAAAAAGATTTGCTTCTGATTGATCATCTTTATTAAAATAGGAAAGCATACCAAACCCTAAAATTCATTCCATTCATAATGTGTGAATGTAAGCATATTCCCTGGAAAGATTCATCTTTCTTCTAAATCTTGCATATGTGGAAAAACCCCTATTTTTGAAATTGTATTGAAAATAGTTCTGCCTGCTAAACCAGATAGATGTCTATTGGCATTAAAAAAAAGCATGAGGGCTCAAGCAAACTGCAGTTGAATAAATCACTTTCTTCTATTTGTTGTTTTAAAATTATTTTTACAATTCTTTTTTTTTTTCCCTCTTGCCTTTTGTCTTTGATTGAAGCTCCACATGTTGCGAAGCGCAACAACTGTGAAGTAAAAGTTACAGATGAAATCATTTTATATTCAGTATATATGAAATATTTAGATTACAAAACATGTTTTGAATGTTAACAACTTACAACAAATAAAAAATAAAAAGCGCACTGAGAGATACACATTAGAACAAATGATGTAATGTGACCTGGTGTTGGAGGGATATCAGAGATGAGCCGGATGATGGGCGTGCTTCAAAATATTTATAGATACGTGTAAAATAAAGAAAACAAAAACAAACTTCTGAGAGCTTTTTTTTTGTTATTGTTGTTCCGATTCCAAACACATTCTGGTTAGCGTTAATCTCTGTACTGAATCAGGGTGCTTACAGGTTGTTAGTATTTTGGACTGGAAACTCTTTGGGTGAGTTTGTTCCCTGTAACAGTAATGAGACTTTTGTGTATGTTAATTTAATGTAAAAACCAAGTCATACAATAAACACATCCAAAACTACTTGCACTGCTTGGTTTGTTTTCAAGGACTATTATCAAAAAGCACCAACCTTCTCCCAGGTAATAACAGCTGAGGTGCTGGAATGGAAGTTCTAGTCGTGCTTTTTCCCCTCCTTTGGCAGCAGTAGTTCTCACTGCTCAGAATAACACTGAAGTTACATAATCACGTTCCTTCATGGCTGTGCTGACAACAGGTTGGGAAGCCGATTAAGATGAAACAAATGGGAGTGGATTTACTGGATTATTGCTTTGGCCTCATAAATAAATGGGCGCATAAGTGATTTATGAGACATTTGCTCTGAGAGTACTCCTGGAGAGGGAAATGTCACTATGCAGATACCAAAATTTGTTCTTGAAAGCTTCTATGCATGATTATGGCTTTAAAGCACTGAACTCTGAGTGCTTGCCGTCTCAGCAGTTCTGGTTCCAAAATGTATCAGCACTGCATGCCAGCTGCTCTGCAGGTGATGTCTGGGTTGGAGTGCTCAGCCTGAGGATGTTCCTGTGCCAGGCAGAAGAAGTTGGAGCCTCGTGGAAGCTGCTCTGGGGTGTGATTTAGGGGGAGTGGGTGTTGTTGGGTGGGCAGGCTGTGTGTGACCCTCACAGCAGTTCCTCTCCCAATATCCCTCTTCTATTCTGATTTCATCTTAGTTGTTGGGCATGGGTGTTTAAAAGTCAAATTATATGGTAATATACTTCTTCATTTCCACTAAAGGTAATGTTACTGAGCTATTTGTACTCTGTGTTGACACGTTCATATATTGTTCTACCAGAAAACAAGTTCCTACCAGGACTGCTGTATCAATGTTGAATCACAGAATAGAAATGTAGAATCCCTAGTGTTGGAAGGAACCTTTAGAGGTCGTCTAGTTCAACTTCTCTGCAACAAATAGGGAATATGAATATGGGCCATGCTCTTGAGGGTACTCAACCAAGTATTATTTAATCTAAATAATTTTCCTCAGGCAGTATTTCCCATAAAACTGCTAAAAGCAGAGCTCAGCTTAGGCTTTCTCTGTGTGCTGTACATTGGCTGAATCTTGTTAGCTATGAAACAGCATCAGAGTGGCTCTCCAGCTTGAGTGAGTTGCCATGAGGTTGCGAGTAAAGTTTGGCTTAAGGTTTGGAATTCATTATTTCTGCTGAGAGAATGCAGCCTCCCACCAAGGCCACACTGGCCATGGACCTTACCTTTTCATTTTTGGTTTTCATTTGCTCTCACCGTGTTGTATGTTTGTTTGTTTGTTTGTTTGTTTTTTCCTCCACAGGGCTAATGACTCTAATGAATCTCTGTAGAATGCTATAACAATCAATTTTTGCTCCATTCCTTTTTTTTTTTTTTTTTTTCCCCCAATATGGCCTTTATTATTACTTTTATTTTACATAATGTCCAAATTGTCTAATGCATAAATGCTCTTGCTTTTGTCTTCTGCCCTCCTTTTCCTACTATTTGTGCAGGTATTTAAAAAGAAAGAAGAAAAGCAAAAAAACAACACTATTTTCCCTTCAGAGTAGACTTTGGTTGGGTAAAGGAATGCAGGACTGAGAAATGGTGGTCAGGAGCACTTCAGAAGCACAAAATGCCCCAACTTTACACACGAATGAGAAGTGACGCACCCTACAGCCGAATATAAAGTAACAGATACCTGGAACAGAAGCCGGCTAGGAGCTGAGAGCACGTTTTTGACTTAAGGTTTGCTTGTAGATATGTCTGCGTCTGAATGGTGTCATCCTGACAGCCACAGTCGTGATTAGGAATAGAAGCCATTCTCATGTCGAACTATTTTAACACATTTCTTGGATGCTTTCTGACCTGCGTTTTGAAGGACTACTTAGTGTGCATGACACTGAGAACTGGGAGCCTTTCTGCTTGCACATATAATTCCAGAACCCGGCCCTGGCGATGCTATTTTGTGGCTGCCGGAAGGGTCCCAGACTGCTCCAGTGTTTGTTGCTGAGTTGAGCACCGGGCTTGAGAGCTCAGAGATGCACAAACCCTCGCCGTCTGAGACTTCAGCCGGAGCCCTCACTTCGGAGCCGAGGAGGATGCTTCAGGGAAAGGCACTCCGCCGCGCTTCGGGAAGGAAGAGCTGGACAGCCCGTAGGCATGAAACTTCCTACCTCGGGGAGAAGCAAGAGCTGTTGCGGGCTCCTAACCCACACAAGGAGCAGCAGGGAGCCGGGCGCGTTCTCTGCCACGCACCGCAGCTCCAACCCGGGGACGCGGAGCTCGGTGTGATGGAGATTAGTTGCGGCGGAGCCAGCCCCAGTCCAGCAGCCAGGCGTGCCCCTCGCTACCAGCTGGCTGCCGCCCTCCCTAGGAGATGGTGCTGAGGGTGAAACGGGCAAGTAGGCTGTCCCTCAGCTCGTCTATAAGGGTAGAGTCTTTGTGTGGGAAAGGGGTGGGGATGCGGCGGCTTTCTCGCGGAGGTTTATTATTATTGGACGGGTGTAGGAGCCGGGGTGGGGGGGGGGGCGAGCGCACCGAGCAGACAAAATGCGGAGCCCCTCACTCCGCTCCCGGTAAGCGTTCGGGAGGTGGGCGGCTCGGTCAGCGGCGGGAGCTGAGACGAGCAGGGGATAGGAGAGAGCGGAGAGGAGCCGGCGACAGCATGAGCATGCTCTCCATGCAACAGTTCCCTGCCCTGCCCACGGAGGAGGAGCGCTACCGGCAGGTCCTCTCTGCCAGAAGGGTAAGGCAAGCCCTTGGCCTTGGCTACGAGCAAGGGTGCGGTGCCAGTGTCTCGCCGCCCTGCGCTCATTCTTTGGGGCTAGGGCGGGCGGCAGGGCTCACGGGTCAGCGCAGAGTGGAGAGTCCCGCTCCCGGCCTCGTGGCTGGAGAGAAAGAGTGAGGGTCGGGACCGTGCCGCCCGAGGGGACGTGTTCCGGGGCGGCCGGGGAGAGGTGGTTGTCCGCCCCACCTGTCTCTGTGGGCGCTCCGCCGCCTGAGCTCTTCTGTGCGCGCAGCTGCGCGAGGGGCACGCGGAGACGACCGAGCTCGGGGGCTCGCGGAGCAGGTGGGTCGTGTCGCCCACGGCTCGATGCTAGCCTCTTGCTGAGACTCTCACAGAGTCGGTGGGGAAAGCGAAGAGGGCTGGTGCGCCTGTTAATTCCTCTTTTCCTATCAGTTCAGCGGCCGAAGGTGCGCCGAGCCCGGCGGCAACAGGTCCAGTCGGGCTTTGCGAGAGCGAGGTTGGGGCTTAGTCTCCGACGGGACCCCGCCCGTGATCCCATTCTCAGCGCGGAGTCCCCCTCGCCGGACGCCCCTGCCGCGGCTTTGCGCCGGACGGCACCGTCGGTCGCCGCCTCCGGCGGAAGGTCATCCATCCCTCGGAGCGTCACAGAGAGGGGTCGGGAAACTTGAAGCGAAAACGAGCTGTTAGTCCTCGCTGGGAGAGGCAGGGTACCTGGGCGACGGCGTTCCCAGCTCCCCGCAAGCTCCCCAGCGGGAAGACCTAGTGAAAGGGAGGCTAGGCGGCCGCGGGGTGAGCGAACAGGTGTCTGCCCGCGTCCCGGTGCGGGTCACGCCGCAGGGCGGGAGAGAGCGGCGGGAGACTGCGGGTGCTCTCGGTGTCAGCGCGCTCGGGCCAGCACCGCACGCTGCGTGCTCCAGCGAGATAACGCGCGCGGTCTGCAAACTTAGCGCTTTTGCACTCGAAAAGACGGTGGCGGAGCTTCCTGCGCTGTGAAATCGTTCCGTGTGCCACCAAATTGCACAGCGGTGTTTTTAGAAGTTCCTAAATATGGCAAGAGTACTTTAATTGTATCATTTCTCCACCTGATTTAAAATGCAGAATCCTTGGATGCATTTCATGGAAGACAATTAATTAACTTTTTATGTAAAGTTATTAGCAGTCTGGCTGAGATGGTGAAACTCTAAGTGAAATGAAATATGTAGAGCTTTTAATGCATTCGTGGGGTCTCTTGGGAGGACTTAGCTTTCAGCAGTAAAAACACGGGGATGGATTTTTCCATATGGCCTCTTACGTCTGTTCCATGTTCTTAAAGATGGTCCTGTCTAAAACTACAGTTCTTAGTTTTGTTCTTCTCATGTATGCCTTAGTCTGGGCTGTTACCAGCCTCTCAGGTGCTGGAACTGTTGAGGTACAGGCACAGTTGAATGATGGTATTGGGATATTTAGGTATCCCCTAAACATTTACTACAATGAGTCAGCAATCACTGTTCTTTTCTAAAGGCTGGTAGCATTGCCTGAATGTGCTGGCCATCTACATTCTGCACAATGTTTCTCTAGGGGACAGGGAATTCCCAAACACTGTCCAAAACTTGTTCGGAGGCAATACTTGTGACTTCCCCAGCAATGCTGAAGCCCTTCAGCCCTGTGCACCATCCTCACTGCTCATGCACAGTTAATGCAGCCAGTAGCACTTGTTCTTGGGACAGTGAGCCAGGTTGTACAGCTCACTTTCCCATGTTAGAGGAATCTGCTTGTGATCTATTAGTACCTGATAGGACCATCAGGGCAAAATGTTGTGTGTTGCCCCCCAGTCTTTTGGAGCCCAGAACTGTAAGGCATCAAAGAAAGCATTCACTTCCTCTCCAAAAATCTGGCACTCAGCTGCATGCCTGTGGCAGATAACTTGAGCATGTGGTGAATTGAGAGTGTAAGGTAGCTTCGAATATGTCACAGCTGAAAGTGTTCTATAAAATGTGCAGTACACCCTGGGCAGTTTAATGTATCTGAATTTTTGTTTATTCATTTCTTATGTATTAGATGATGTTTGCAGATATGAAGGAAAGCCAGGGCTGTAAGAAGTGCCAGTAATTATTTTAAAATGCATGTTTACTTGCATGTAGGAACATTTACTCTTCCAGTCTTTCTTTTTATACTCCCTAACCCTCCCCCTCCCTTTTTTTTTTTTTTTTTTTAATTTGCTAAGCTGGTATACATGTTTAGTCCTTAGCACTCTGCTCCCTTGAGGAACATTAATGTCCTGCTGTTATAGCAAACCCTTATATAGTTGTAACATTTCTTCTCATTGTGTGGCCAAAGAAGGCTGAGGTGGATAAAGCCTCTGATAGAGCCAGCAGAGAAGATGGGTATAGGCGAGGCAGTGTTGGGATGCTTAGACCTAGTGAAAAATCCCTGCAACTCTTGTGCTCACCATGACTCCAATGGTCTAAGCAATCAATGCTGAATTCTACATAAGCCTTTTGTGCACAAGAAGGAAGCCAGTGCTTCCATGAATGTGGCCTAGTGGCTCAGATGGAGACCAAGCTTCAGGAGGGCGAGGCCATCCCAGTATGTAGGCACTGAGGCATTTCCTAAGGAGATGAAGCTGTGGCTTTGACCCTCACCTGGATTTGGGACTACAGATACCAGGCCTCCTGCTTTCAGGCTCAATGTCATGTGCTGTGAGGCAATCACACACAGTGGTGCTATCACCTGGTGTGGCTGGTCAGCTTTTAAAGATGGCAGATACTGCTACATTGAGTGGGAAGAGCTGAATCTGTTAGCATGTCAGGTGTTGCTGGCAGATCATTAAATCATAGAATGGCCTGGGTTGAAAAGGACCACAATGATCATCTAGTTTCAACCCCCGTGCCATGTGTAGTGTCACCAACCGCTAGACCAGGCTGCCCAGAGCCACATCCAGCCTGACCTTGAACACCTGCAGGGACGGGGCATCCACAACCTCCTTGGGCAACCTGTTTCAGTGTGTCAGCACCCTCTGTGTGGAAAAACTTCCTCCTAATATCTAACCTAAACTTCTGTTTAACAGCATTCTCCTTTGTCCTATCACTATGCTTATATCCTAACACAGTTGCTTACGAGTCCAGAGAAAGGCTTCGTTTCAGATAGCCAGCTGTGATTTGGCAGGGCTGGATGTCAGGCCACTTGCAATAGGGCAGTTGTAGGCATGCATGTGCAGCAAACAACCTTCCAAACGTCGCTGCTGGGCACCTCCTAATTTTTTAAATGCCTGCAGCCGAGCAGCAGGGCTTTAGAGGGGCAATGTGATTGCAGTTTGAAATAGTGATGTTCCCGCTCTGTTTCAGCTTCTTTTCCTACCGAGATGGACCACAAGCTTAAACTCCCCTTATGAAGGTCTTCTTGTGCTGAACAGCCTCTAAAAACTGCACTCTCCCCGGGTGCTCAGCCCGGGTCGGGCCGCTGGGGTTTCCCCGTCGGTCTGTCGGCACGGCCGCGCGAGGAAGCGCTCGTGCTGCCGCCCCCGGCTCGCAGCCCCGCGACAGAGGAACACGACGCCGACCGCATCCCTTAGCTCTGCCCCCCGCCCCTCTATAAATAACTCTTTCCGGGCTGACCTGTTAGATTCCCCCGGCAGAGCGGATCCCCTTGACCCGGGGCGCCTGCAATGGAAAGTCTGAATGCAAAACATACCGTCGTAAAAATAGCGCAGCTGGGGAGCCCCCTCTGCACGTCCTGGTGGTGCCGCTCCGACCCTCGCTCTCACGGCTCGTCCCGGGATAACGGCTGTGCTCGCGCCGGTGGCCCTGAGGTGTTTGGCTGCCCTGAGAGCCCTCCTGCCTGCTGTAGTGGCCTGATGGTGAATTTTTTCCTCCCTTCTCTCTCCTTTTAACTGAAGGAAGCAGATTTCATCAGTTCTCTTCTGGTCAATGCTTTCGTCCAGCTCAAAAGAAGTAATGGTTTAATGTCCTAAATGCACAAACAGCAATAAGGCAACGGTAGAGCCAGGACTTCCTGCCTTAAAAAGAGGCGAGAAGTCTCTAAGGTAACACACGAGATTTCAGTTCGTGCCTCCCTTGCTTGGAGGATCGATCCCTGAAGGGAGAGATTCTCCTCGGCTGTGCTTTGAAGCTACTCTAATTTGAAGAGATGCTTGTCATCGTTCATTTAAGCATATAATTAACGTGCTACTATTTCTGGTTGTTTTACCTGCACAGTTTGAATACTTGGATTTAAAAGCAGCAATAAATACCAGAATGTGGTATTTAGCTGTTGGTGTGCTTTCAGCTTTGGTGCATCTGTACTGTGATCTCCTGTCTTGCAGTGTCCACTGGGGCCCGTCCTGCCCTGAATGCTGTGCTGGAGCAGCCTCAGCTCACAGCCGTGCACCCACACAACCACTCAGTTATCTCAGAGGCCTGGTGGCCAACTCATCAGTAAAGGGAGTTTGAGAAAGTACATTTACTCAGAAATGACCAAAGGTAGTGTTACCTCTGTGGCTGTCTCCTCCTTTGTTGTCTTTGATCCTTAAACTAAGTGGAGATGGAATTAATCAGTTTGTGATCAGATCCTTTTCACTGTCTGTGCCATTAGAGTGAAAGTGTTGCTTCTCTGAATATTGCACAGTTTATAATTCTCTCTTTGTTTGTGATAGTGTTGTTACCCACGTAAGGTAGTTTTCAACTTGTTGCCCTGTAATGAAATGAGGCTGAAAAACAGATATTGCCAGAGATGCTCTGCAGTGATAAACTTTGTGCTTTGTTGATTCAAGCCCTGCCCCTCTTCATGAAGAATGTAATTCTCACAACAATATGCATTGTGGGGCACCATCTTTTGCCCATGTGCTACGTATAACTTATTGCCTTAAAAAAAAAAAAAAATTGATGAAATTTTTAAATTTCTTCCTCATAGAGTAATCTATAGGGGGCAGCTCCTGTAAACCTGTCGAGCGGACTGCCAAGCTGTGTTACTGCAGGTGCTCCTGCAAGCTACTGCTCTTCCTAAATCCCAAGGTTCACATT